ATATTTCACAAAACTTATCTAAAATGATTCCCACTTCAGAAGCCCAAGTTTTTCCTTTAGTACATCTACGTTGTATCATCATATTTCACAAAACTTATCTAAAATGATTCCCACTTCAGAAGCCCAAGTTTTTCCTTTAGTACATCTACGTTGTATCATCATATTTCACAAAACTTATCTAAAATGATTCCCACTTCAGAAGCCCAAGTTTTTCCTTTAGTACATCTACGTTGTATCATCATATTTCACAAAACTTATCTAAAATGATTCCCACTTCAGAAGCCCAAGTTTTTCCTTTAGTACATCTACGTTGTATCATCATATTTCACAAAACTTATCTAAAATGATTCCCACTTCAGAAGCCCAACTGGCAACTCTTACCACCCCATTTCAAAATCGGAGTAACACTAAAACCTCTGACCAAGTGTCCATCCTCAGAGAGTCGATTTCCGAAGAAGTGTGACCTATCAACTTATATATTCTTCTATTTCTTATTTCAATGACCAATGCTTATCGACCAAAGTTGCCACATAATCTTAAAACTATCACAAAATACAATTTCAATGAAATGGCACTGAATAAAACTTTCCACTAAGTTTAATGCCTACTAAACGATTTTTCCAAATTGTTATATTTTACAACTTTAGAAAAAGACTGTTCGTACTGGTCAACAAAATCATCCTGTCGACCAACCACAGATGAGGTCAAAGGCATCCTTGGTTCTCCAAAAGATACACACAAGTTAGACAGAAAAAGGTGGTAAAATGGGGGCTAGAGCACCCACATCTGTTCCCCATTATCTCTTCTTTTTTCTTGTCTCCTCCGAGAATGTAAGGCCGGCGAAGTTGAGGTTAAAGTACCCCAACCAATTTGGGTTTTACTTCCGATGGTATCTTAAAAAACGAGGCCATATTACATCGTGACCCACCTTACGAATTGTGCCCTTGTGTTGGATATTTTTTTTTTTCTCTCTCTCCTACACTGTTGATCATGAAGTTGAATTCAATTTTTTAATTTTATTTCAAAAGAATTAAAAAACAAAGCATTAGCGTATCTCTCTTAACGTGCCTTCTGTATGTTACGTTCACCTATTTAGTTAGTCCAAACCATCCACTGCAAACTCTTGGGCTACTCTTTTACCAACAATTAGTGGGATTGATCGTAACATTATAGCCCCAGCACGACTGAAATAGCGAGGGTGCGGGTGGATTCGAACCCCCGACACTAGGATTGCGATTGGCAGGCCTTAATCGCCATGCCAGGCTCGATATAATCGTACTTGAAGTATTTACTTGGCACTGTTGAATAAAAGAATTTGATCCCAGTTAATTAACGGTCAAGTGACGACCTATGGTCCACATCTTGCAAGTTCCAACATCCTAAACCCGAAAAAAAACTATATATGAAGCGACATAAGCGCAATCTACTGGCTTATATAATGAAGACTAATGGGGTACTACGTAAAAAACGTGGTTTCGATAACACTAGTGGCGTGCCGCAACTGGGATTTTCAAGTATAATAAGAGAAGCTTAAGAAACACAAAACGTTCTTGGAAAAACGCTATTATTCGAAAAATTACCATAAAACCGATTTGGCAGAAAGAAATGCAGATATACACGGAGCCGTTGTTCTATGTTCAAGCTCCACAATGGGTTATCTGCACACTGTCCACAGAGGGAATTGAACCCCGGATGCATGGAGGTAGAACTAGCATTAAAAAAAAAAGTTATTGTAATTTCTTAGTTGTATTTTGTGCAAAGCTATGTAAGAGCTATCTGTGCTAGCCATCGCTAATTTTGATCGTTGTATTTTGTGCAAAGTTATGCATAGGCTATCTGTGCTAGCCATCCCTAATTTTGATTGTTGTATTTTGTGCAAAGCTATGTAAGAGTTATCTGTGTTGACCATCCCTAATTTTGAAGCTATAGACTAGAGGGAAGGTAGCTACCACCACCAATTCTTGAGCTACTCTAACCAAATAATAGGATTGACCACCACATTATAACGGCCCATGGCTTAGAGAGCAAACGTGTTCTGCGTTTGTTTGTTTTGAATGTCGTGCAAAGCTACACGAGGGCTATCTGCACTAGCCATCCCTAATTTAGCAGTGCAAGACTAGAGGGAAGGTAGCTAGTCATCACCACCCACCGCCAACTCTTGGGCTACTCTTTCATCAATGGATAGTGGGATTGACCATCACATTATAACACCCCCATGGCTGAAAGGGCAAGCATGTTTGGTGGGATGGGGAATCGAAACCCGCGACCCTCAGATTGAGAGT